AGGAACTAATGCAGAAACTTTAAAGCAACAGAGGCCAATAGGAGAAGGGGACCAGGAACTAGAGAAAAGGTTAGTTTGAGAAGAATTAACTTAGAATGTAACACATGTGTACATGAAAGCAATGCGAGGAATCTCCCTGTATAGCTATCCTTATCTCAACTAGCAAAAACACTTCGTCCTTATTATTGTTTATACTCTCTTCAACAAAATTAGAGATAAGGGCAAAACAGTTTCTGCCTGGAAGTGAGTGGGGAAGGGCAGGGGGAGAAATGACCCAAACATTGTATGCACATATGAATAAAAGATATATTTAAAAAAAATCAGTAACTTTTATCACTATATTGCTTGAAAAAATCAAATTATCTGAGCAGCAAAAGTTGGTTCTTGTTAGCTTGCATGACTCAGTAGTTCTTTAACATTTATAGCCAGATCCAAAGAAGACCTTTTGATGGCTTTAAAAGGAATTAAGGGTGATCCTCAACTGCCTTTTCCCCTAGCATTTTGTACAGCTCCATATCCCAAGTTTTCTTATGTCCAGCCCTGTTTAACAAAGTATTGACGGGCCTTGATGAAGTAATACACTTACTCAAGAAGATGGAACTGGCCTGTTTCAAACTGAAAAAAGGGAGATAACATCAAGAGGGATGTAGAAGACAGGGGGACTTTTGTTTTTAAGGAAAGCAAACATATCTTTATTTTTAGCTGTGAGGATGCATATTCACAATTGTGCTGGGTATGGCCAAGTTCTTTTTTGGGTTCGTATTTCATGCAGAATAAGGGAGAGAAAAAAATGTCACTTTGTTGTTGTATAAACTTAAACAACCCTTTTCCCTATCTCATGCCAACTGCAATTTCAACACCATCTGAGGTTTTTCTAATGGATGCTCCTACCCGCTGTCTATAAACAGGAAAACAGTGAGAACAGAGGTCACCAGTTCAACATCTGAATCAGGTAAAATGGAAAGAATCTATGTCGAGGGGAATAGATGGAAAATGCTCCTTTGACAATAAAGTGGAATGAATGCCCCCTATTATTGCTGTAGAGCATTCTATGTCATAATTAACACTTTTGATAAATGAAATACAATATTGTACATTTAGACAATGTGTTCGTAAATATTTCAAGCATATTCTAAATATATAATTTAAAACAAATACAAACCAAAACACATGGCACATTATTGAATATTAAGTAAAATTAGGTTGCTAAAATTTTAACCTATAAACACTTTCTAATGCCTAAAAGAAAAACTAACTAGAAGACTAGTCAGTTAAAAAGTGGTCATCCCATTAGCTGTACGCAAAAGTATATGAAAATCTTGCAGGTCCCTTCAAAGAAAAAACTCAAATGAGAAACATTTACATACCTTTTCTAATAGCAGATTCTAATATAATACTGTAAAAACAGCAAAGTTTGAGCCAAAAGGATACCATGTAGTTCAAAATTAAAACCCAAAAGAAAACCAGTACCCAATTTCATCAGTTCTTTTATAAATCACATGTTGAATTACCATATGAATTTGTCCAGTAAAGATGGGCACTTGAAGTTATTTTAAAATCATCAAACACATGGCAATCATTTGGTGAAAATTTGACATTAACACCAACACTGTGCTATATAGAGAACACTTTTACTTAAAAAACATAGCTCAATTTAGCTGTGTATGTATGTATGTATGTACAATGTCCTAAAATCAAACCCCACCTGTATCCCCTGGGTTGGAGAATTCTAAGAAATCCATCACTTATTTCTCCAATTTGCTGCTGTCAGCAGGAATTAAAGGCTGTTCTTTACAATCAAGTATTCTGAACACACTTAAGCCTGGTAATTTTACCATTATGCTGAGCAAATCTTCAACTTTGGGGAGAATTTTCAGATGAAAAAAGGAAGTGCTAGTGAGCTCTTTAGGGCAGGGGCCCCCTGTTCAGAAGGGTTACCCAGCAGATAGTAGTAAGTGGGCAATATGTAACTTTTTTTTTTTTGATGAGTGATCCAGTTATAACATGAATACACACTAGATTATAAATTCTGCCCAAAAGTAAACTTCCTGAGGGCAAAAACCCATTTCATCTCTTTATAGTCCCAGATATTTAACCTAGAACAGTGTTTTGTAGATAACACTCAACATACTTTGTGGAAAGGCTGAGTTAGCTGGATTAATAAGTGTTTCGAACAGACAATCATTAAAACAGTACTGCAATTTAGATGATTTGAATTATATGGCTTATTTATTCTTTAATCCAAATTCCTTTATTTTTTTGAGACAGGGTCTCACTTTGTAACCCAGACTGGCCTTGAATTTGAGATCCTCTCGCCTCAACCTCCCAGAACTGGCCTCATGTGCCCCTAGGCCTGGCTTTTCCCCAAATTGTTGTGAAGTTAGTACAAAAAATTAAGAAGCTAGGGCAGCTGTATAATTCTCTAGAGGCAAATTAATGTGCTATAACTAAAATTATGTTCAAGGGCAGTTCTAAAGCTGAATATAAGTACCACCTTGATTTTTAAAGCTTATGCTAATATAGAGAATGCTTCTGTTATCTATAAAAGTGTATTCCCCAAGAAACTGAAAATTAGATCATATTCTGTGAAAACAGATACTGTGAAATTCTTTGATGTTAAGATAGTAAGAGCCTGTTACACAAAAATGAACATCCTATTAACATGAAAGTATACTATGAATATTGTATTACCAACACAAGAACATTTTCCCTCCAAAAAAGAAAAGAAAAAAAGAACACACATCAAAGATTTTTGAGGCATTTGCCCTGAGATGTTAATTAGCATAAAAAAAAGGGTTAGGGCCAAGAATTTAAGACATACAAAATGAAGTACACAATGGAGGGGGTGCAAGTGCTTCTTCAAAGTATGGTTGGTTTCCCATCACAAAATCATCCCAGGAATCAGGAACATGTGCACACTGCTGTTACATGTGTAGTTCCTTCCTGGATCTTTATAACGAAAAATTACATCTAGTATAGGAGTGCTGATTCATGTGGAAAAGATTTAGCCCTCCTCGAGCACACTTAAACAGCTTCCTCTCACATCCAGCTTAATTTCAATAATACTTTAAACAGAAGAATATTTTAATTTCCTCTTTTTTGTTTAAAGATACTCAAAAAGGTTCTCAACATGCTGTTATGGTTTGAAATATAGCTTTCCATCACACATTTTACTTATGATTTGCTTTGCATCTCAAAAGCTACCACAATCCAGTTCAAGGTTTTGAAATTTCTAAAACTGAAAACTTAAGGCTAAATAAAAAAAATTAAGGAACTGGCTTGTTGTAAAGACTTAGCTTTCAGTACTAGTGTAGCTAGTAATCGACCTGTACCAGAAGCACTGGTTTTCATTAAATGTACATTTAGTTGCCTGCAAAGCCATAATTTGGAACATTATCATACTTCACACTCTATCACAGATTTAGACATTAAGCATTTATTGTGAGTATGGTATTGTCTCTGTAATTCCAACTGATATGAATTTTTAAATATAAATAGTACCTCAGTTTTTCTTTATTCATGCTGTATTAAGATATAAATTAAATACAATTAAGTTACATTTAATCACCTCACAAATAAGAGGGATAATGAAAAGAGTTTGCTGGTAGGTAACTACTAAAATCTGAGACATTTCACATTACTTTCCTACTATCCCCTAACTTTACATTAGTTTTAAGGCTATATATACAAATATGTATATTTCCAAGTTAGGGAAAAAGCAAATAAAACAAAATGGATCATACTAGTTTTTATACACAAAGTTTTGAATTTGTATTTAATGTTGCATTTTAATCTTACATTTTAATAGTTTTCTAGTGGGGAATCTGCCTACTGATTCAATTACATGGTGATAAATACAATACACTCAACCTAAAGAGACAAAAATACAGAAGGGCACAGAACAGTAGTCTTTTCAATGTGACAGACTGTAAAACTTACTTTCACATGCTTAATCAGAGGAATTTAAACCTAAATTAAGTTAGGTACTCGTAGATCTACAATTCCTTAAGCTTTGAAATGTATTTTTAAAGGCCAACAGCTAAATATTATCAACATGCTATATTTCAAATCACAAATACATCTTAACCACTTAAGAGTCTAAAGACACAGGCCAATTAGAAGTCACAGGCAAACACACACTCACAAACACACACATACCTACCATTGAGGGTTAGATTGTCAAACTTTGACAATTATTTCATTTAAACAGTAGGCATATTTAAGCTGATGAACATCTTAGTGAAAAGCAGCCTGAAATGAACTTATTTAAAAAACAGATTAAGGAATAAAAGGATCTTAAATTTTTTTTAGTCTTTCTAATGGAAGGGAAACAGCTCCATCTGGGACAGAACTAATAGTATTTTCCAATGAAAAGAGGCTAACTTCTTTCCCTGTGAGAAACATCTCATTTACAATGGCACAGTGTTTTGAAAGGCCGGGGTGAAAGAGGAATTACACATACATGATTAAGTGTCTTGTTTGTTAAATCAAGCTTTATTGATAAAATGAATTCAGAGTATCTTACTAGGAACAGCAGCAGGCCCAGCCAATCATGATAGCAAAAATGTGGCAGTCTCCTACTATATGTAGGAAGCTGCTGCTTATCAATTAAAAATTAAATGTAAGGACTTGTAAAAGAGGTGCAAAGAATCAAGGCATTTTAGCCCCAAGATTGATATTCTTAGGAATATACTGTATCGCCTGCAAAACTCATGGCAACAAGGAGAAATCCTGAAAGACAGCTAAACGAAGGGAATGGTTTTATCAACAAACCAAGCCAAAACCATGAAGATAGGTTCCCGTAACTCCTTGGACGTTCAGCTTTGTAAGATTTTGAAATTACTTTCCATAATCATGTGCATGTTTGAGCATCTAGCTGATGTGGCTGCTGCTCTCCCTGTCCCAACCCCAAGTCCAAACATAACATGACTTAAAAGGGCTATATTATCTGTTGCATCACACAACAAGCCAAACATTTCTTGTATCATTGATAGTGATTTTAACGCAGTTCATAATTAAATATGAGCATTTTTTTACAAGGACAATTACACTTTACAAAAAAAAAACAAAAAAACAAAATCATACAACAAAAATTGCTGGAGTCTGATTTACAACATGAATTATGGTTTGAAATCACGTTTACATAAGTCTCAAATTTACAAAAAAAAAAAAAAAAATCAGTTCTGGGCTAGCTGTTGTACTGCTGAAGCTCTCTGGTGTCATCACTCTCACATGTCATATCCCCTTCCTTAAAGTTGAGGATGGATGTTAAAAGGTTCAACAAAGTTGAGCTGTACTCTCCTTTGGAGGTGAAGGTAAACTCCATGGCTAGTGAGCAGATTTACCACATATCATCCGTTGATGTAGAGTCCTTTATAAAAACAAAAGAACGAACTAAATTAAAGCTTAGAGGTGCTAAAATACACTACCTTCTGGATAAGAAAAGTAAGGTTTTTTTAAAAGCTGACTTCTAGAATATAAATTTTTTTAAAAGTATGTATGTATATGAGTATCAATATTTAATCTTTTCCATTCAAAGAATTACTAATGCTGTTTTGGAAAGATTTTACTGTAAGGACCAAATAGGTCAGTAAATCCACGTAACTACTAAAAAATCCTTTTTCTTTGATAAAATCTATTTTTTTTTTTCCTTTAGGTGGGAATGAGGTTTGAACTCAGGGCTTCCTGCTTGCAAAGCAGGTGCACCACCACTAGAGCCACACCTCCAGTCTATTTTGCTCTGGTTATTTTGGAGATGGAATCTCTCGAACTATTTGCCAGAGCTGGCCTCAAACTGTAATCCTCCAGATCTCCACCTCCCACGTAGTTAGGATTACAGGTTTGAGCCACTGACACCTGGCTACTTCACGATTCTTGACATAGATATATCCAACCATAGAGACTATTCAGTGGAGACAAACATTCTGACACTGTTGTAGCTTCTTACAAAACGCAGAATAATATAAGATTCTGAGTAGAGATAGTCCCAACTCTTAAAAAAAAGAAGCAAAACTGGTGGAGATAGGTCTTCTGAAGTTGATTATTTGTAGAGGTTTTAAAAAACCACAGAATAATTCAAAGAGACCTTCTTTTTTGAGAGAGGTGCCACTCACCATGATTATGTCCTCAATCACTAGACCTTTGGTGCAGGCAGAGATCAGAGCAAGCAGAGTTCAGAGTAATCAAACAGGGGTGTGTGTAAGTGAATGGGTACTGTGAACATCTCTGCAAAAACAGGTAGGAAGGATATACATTTAGAGAAGAGGGGAAGGGAAAGCAGAGAGAGCTAAAATGCTACTTACAGTGTCATCATTTTTGTAAGGATTCAGTCTATTGTAAACGGCTTCAATTACATTCCGCCTAAATTTTTAAAAAAATACAGAAAATTAATTTTTCAGAAATTACAACAATGCTTAACAACTCATTGCTAGGAATTCATTAAAACTTCAAAGATAATGCAGAGATAAGTTTACTCCAAAATGTTACATTTCATAACTCAGTTAATGAAAGACTAAATGTCATGGTTCAAAAACAAAACAGTCTATATGACCTACTCCTATTTGAACTAGCTTATGCAGTCGTGAGTCAGCAATGGAAATATCAACCTAAGATATACTAAAGGGTTGTGTCACAATTTTGAAGTAGAAGTGACTTCAACATCTACTGTAAAATAATTCATATGTGCTTTGTATTAAAATTTTTTTTTTTTTAATTAATGCTGGGGATTGAACTCATGGCCATCAGGCCACATACCCAATCTTGTTTCTGCTTTTTTAAACATCCCTTAAAAAAAAAAAAAAAAAAAAGACGACGATCTATTAAAATTTAAATGTCAAATACAACATTTCCATGATAAAGTCTAGGGATTAGCTATTGAAAACTATTTTATTTAAAAAACTGGCTGGGTATGGTGGCTCATGCATATAATCCTAGTGCTGGGGAAGCTGTAGCAGGAAGATTGAGAGTTCAAGGCCAGCCTAGGCTTCATAGATTGTGTCTTAAAACATCAAGGGCTGTTCCTTTTATTCTCAGTGGTAGAGTGCTTGCCAAGAAAGTGAAGGACCCTGAAGCTCAATCCCCAGCACTGCAAAATACATACATATATACATACATAATCTGTAATAACAGACTTTGTAAATTATAGCCTCTCTACTTCTAAAATTGATTTGAAGTTTTTTAGACAGTCATATCATAGATGGTCAAGTGGAAGAAGTTTTAAAAAACAAAAGCTTCAAATAGGAACTTTTATAATCACTATTATAAAATGATTACCAAGAATACGACTACATCTGCAAAATACAATGGAGAATCAGGGAAATTAGTCAACAATATATCTTTGTAGATCAATTATTTGGATAATTAAGTTGAAAATATTTTAAGCATTGAATCAGAGAACTGCTTGAATTCTCCAATTTATATTTAATAATGTACTGATATAAAATTAATATATACCACGATTTAGTCCAGTTCTATAAACTGAATTGGAAAGGGAAATAGAGAAGAAATGCATCTTCCTAACTTCTTTGACACCAAAACCCAACTAACCAGTAATCAACAACCAAAAACAGTGAGAAATCAGAAATGGAAGAGCATGGCCCAGATGGAAGAAATTTTGGAGTATTAAATTATCTACAGATTATACTACTACTATTAATAATTAATAACACTTAAGACTTTTATAGTACTATACAGTTGAGTTTAAAAAATTATTTTACTGTCTCATCTATTCTCTATGAGGAAATTAATCCAAGCTTCTGCTAAAGACAATTCTCAGTATAATTAGTTACAAACAATGGTGTTCTCATATCTATTTAAATAAGCACCATACATCCTAATAACTTAAAAAAAACACAGACAACCACAGGTTATATATGTTGAAAACAGATAACTGCATCACTTTAGAAATTAGTTAAATAAACATTCAATCAATGGATACTTAACATTTTCATATACTGACAAAGTCTAAGAGTGTGCAGAATGTAACTTACTTGCTTGCCAATTCACCCCCTGGTGGGAGGCTGGGGATGTTCTCACTCGCTAATGTGCGCATCACATGGACTAAGTCAGGAACGCCTTCCCCCTGCTTCTTTATGATTTCTGGGAATCAGAAGTACTTTTTTTGTAAGTGTTATCCAAATTTAAAACAACTGAAACAAAGATAACTTAGGTTTTTAAAGATGGCATTTATTACATCTGAGATTTTCTAAACTGGCATTAAAAAAATCAGATTGACCTTTGAAAATTAAAGACAGAGGATGCAGAAAAAGATACAAAAGACTAACTTCAAAGAATTAAAACAACCAAGATAAAAATGGGAAAAGAAAAAAATACTTCATGTTAAATTGAGTGTTAAAAAATCAGGGACATGTGTATACAAATGAAGATATCCTTTCATAAGATGTCAACTAGTTACTTCTGAGGAGAGCAACTCCTTTCTTCAGACTGGATACATCTTAACTTTGTCCTATAAAAATACATTGCATAGATGCAAAAAAATTTCAAGATTGGGAAAACACCCATTAAGTGTAGGGGAATTTATTAATTATATACTAACCCAAATCATTTTTATACATAATACTGATATTGAAAATGATACTTCAGTAGCATGCACAGATTAGGTTAGACACTAGAACATCACTCTCAGCTCAAATTTTCTATAAAACATCATTAAACAATAAATAGATAAGTAACACCATTTCCTCCACTGATTACTTTAGCAAAGCCTTGAATAGAAGTATAAATTTCATGGCAAAATTTTAAAAAACAGAAAGATGTGCTAAGCATACAACTGCATTTAAAGTAATTAATTTCAAAGAGCCAGTTATTAAGTGGGAATAGTGATGACCTGCAGTGCTATCACGCAGATACATATCATTATTCAAAAACTGTGAACGAAGACCCTTACAAAGAACCCTAAGAAATCTTTACTTGAAGTTTTAGCATACTTCTTCTACATGCAAATTCATGTCAAAGGTACTTGTAAGCTATATGATCAGGTATGTTCAGTTTTTATTTTTCAATGTTTATTATAAGAAAAAAAAATTTTTTTTTTTGGTCATCACCAGGGAAAGAAATTATCATTCTAGTCCTCAATTTGTAAATACCTTTGAAAATAACAATGTGTATGAAGATTATTCATGCTTTGATCAAGCCTCAAAATATCAATTTATCATTAAAGGAACAAATTAAAAGACAGACACTGCCACCCATAAAATCTTTAAATGGTTCGAATTGTCCTTTTAGAATAAAGGCCAAATTTTACCATCTCTCTCTCTCTATTTTTTGGTCTTGTTTCTTTTTTTAAACCAGTCTTAAATCTGAACAAAACGCAAGGATCTCAGATTTGGTTTGCCAAGTTCCTTTATTGTATAATCTTTAACATCTAGTATATTTATTCTACATGATTCTAATGCTGGAAAGCTGCTATACAAAAATAAAGGGATTTGATGTTTATCTAAACTACACAATTTCACAATCTAAAACTGTAATACACTTAACATACAGTCTCTACTAAGCCAATACAATTATTTGGATAGATAACTAAATACAATAGAAATGAACACTGATGAAAAATTTAACCAATGATGGTTTCAGGTCTAAAATAACATTACTTTGAGTAATCTGTATTTGATGTATCTTACATCTTTGTTAAAATATAAATTAGATATTTTAACTGTGCAGAAAATTACAGAAAACAAATTCTTTAAAAAAATAATGAAAGCCTTTTAGAGACAGTTAATATCTCCTATTCCATGTGGGACAATCCATTTAAGCTACTCAAACATTAATACTATACTAGTCTTGTTTCTGTCTGCTTTTAAAAAGAAAAAGAAATGAATCTTAAGAAGTATTCATTTTTCTTGGACATTTTAAATTCTAAAAAAGACTGAGTGCTTTCATAAAGAATATATATGTATAGAATTATTCATGTTTCACATGCATATACACAAGTACTTTCTGCTCCTCACCACCTTCCTTCATCAAATTTGAGGGATTCTATCAGCTTTCTCCAAATTAGCAACTTTAAAGCTCAGGTAGTCAGTAGCAAAGATTTTTAAAGCATATACACATAACTATATAATCTTAAATTGGCTTAGAAAGGCCACAAGCTTAATAGCAGTCTGGTTATAAATAAAGAGCTGAGTCTTTCTCCATCCCCACCTCAAGCATTTAGAAGGGCATAGGCAGTATGAGAAAGGAGAACCTGAAAAGCTTTGTCCTTTTTATGTGATGGACAGAGAAGCCAAAAACATTGAAAGCAAATAAAGTGAGGTTTAGTAGGTCATAGCAATTTAGCCGAGGCATGTATTTGAAGAAAGCAAAAGGTATTTGGTGCCTGTTTGGAAACTGCAGCATTTCTTCACTTAAGACATATGACATCTTTTACAATGTGAACAGTTACATTCTTTCTTATGTCTTTAAATAGCAGCAGTTTTAACTAATGTGTTCTTTATTCTCTAGTTGTAGTATCATCAAATCTAAGAACACCGTATTTAATTTATGACACATAATCTCCAATTGAATGGTACAAATATAACACGTCAACATATCAAAAATATTGACTATTAATGTAAATTCTACCCAGATGGCAACTCTTGTTTGATAGAAATATAAAACTTAATATTGTAACAAAATTACGCAAAGTGACTATTTTGTAATTCCACCAAAAATTAGTGTACATTGAAAAGTAGCAAATCATTTCTAAAACTGGATCCCACTTTATATTAAAAGTACTAAAGTACTTATTATTTCTTTAAACCAATAAGAAAACATGTATACCCAAGTTAAAGTGCCAAAGCATTAAATACCAACTTATATCCCTATACACATTATTCTTGTGCTTTCATATTTTTCCACTATTCAGCAGTTTAAGTCAATGACTTTGTAGCATTCTGTATTATGTAAGTAACTTGTAAGTAATTTATATTGGAATGATTAATTTAAAAATGTAAAAACTGCAAGACCCTTGATAAAAGTGAAAAAAAACTGCACTGAATAATACATCCAATGAGGGAAATAGTGAATGGTACAAATACATACTAGACATACTGCTATCAAGTGGGGGAGGGGAGTAAAAAGCACACATAGCTGTAGCAATAATGAAAATCAAGAGCCATGATTCCGATAAGAGTAGGCATGGCTGACATGCGGGGTTTAGCGCTGCAGGCACAGTGGGAGGCCACAGTGTGGCTGGCCAGTGCTACATGCCATTGGAAGTCCTTGCCGTGCACATTCAGGACATTAGGCACCCCAAATGCATTCTTACACTATCAAAATCATGGTAAACTTTTCTGCTTAAATGAACTGCATAATCTACATGCTTATCATATATATTCAGTAAACTGAAATTCTCTGGGGAGACTTAAATGTTTTATACCAAATAGTAGCTGCATGAAAGATCATTTAAGGACTGGAAATACAGTTCAGTGATAAGAGTGCTTGCCTAGTATGAGTGAGGCCCTGGGTTTGATTCCTAGCACCACAAGAAAAACCCACCACCAACAAAAGATCATTGAATATTTTTAAATATTTGAAGACATTACACTTGACAGGTACAAACACTTCACTGTTCCAAAGTAATTTGCATAAGTATGAGAAATATACTCCTGGAGTTCCCAACTTATTTTTTGACCTTATTCAGTAGTTACATTTCTGCTAGGTAGAGAGAACTCTTATGTCTTCTGCTCAAGTCTCTTGTTTATGGCTTAAGCAAGAAGCCATGAAAACAGTTGAAAACAAAAATTTAAAAGCTGTGGCAGATAAAAGTTGTTAATAACCAGGTTGTGCCCTTCAAGTTATTAAAAGAAAAAAAAATTTCACAGATTTTACATTAACAGGTATAGCTTTTCACAGAAAGATGGTATATTAAACAAACGGAAATCAGTTTTTCCTGGCACAAAATTACTCATGCCAGTGAGGTCATCATGAATTTTAACGCTCACATTTTAGCCTTTTAAGACAAAAGTATCATGAACACAATGTACAAGGCCACACTCGTTATTTCTAAGATGACTGGGTAGGACAACTGTGTTGTCTAAACAGCTGCAACAGAATGCCCTTTCCCACGCTGTGTACTAAGTACTAGATGCTAAAAGCATGTAAAGAATTCAATACAGCTAAAATGTTAGACGTTTGATTGTGTTGAAGGTTTTTCTTTAATAAAGCTACTTATTTTTTGTTAAATGATCCACCTTCTACTCTGCATTCCAGGTACTTGTCCAACTCTGCCTCCTTCTTCACTGCTTCTGGCGATACTTTAGGTGCATTTGGAAAACAGATCAAAATCACACTCATGTTGTCTCGACTTCCCTGGGAAGAAAAAGTTTGAGAAAATATTTTTGTTTTCTTCTTGCTTTTTAAAGTCTTGAGAATCTTTATAGCTATGCCAATTATAATTATACTTGTACCAGTGAAAATGTTATTTTTAAGGAGAAAAAACTATGCATATATGTGAGGGCAGTTGCCCCCAAATAGTGCATTGAATGTATAATATAAGCAACATTCCAAAAGACAGAAGAGAAACATTACAAATTAAATCCCACAGTAATAGTTATTTTTAAAAGTTCTATGAAGCAAAACTATTTCTAAATATTTATTGGTGCCCTACTAAACTTTAAGTGATACCTGACACAAGTATACAGACACACACTCCATATAACATGATAGAAAGTGCTAGTGGTATTCTTTACTACTAGGATTTGTCCAAATTTATATTTAAATCACACAAACTGTGGGGTTAATACAATTAATTCATAAGCAGAATTAGAAGTAAAACTACATAAAGTTTATAAACCAGCTTGAATTTAGGAAATACATTCATTTTCAAAGACACCTAAGTATTCAAACTGCTGTAATTAAAACACTTGAATTGATGATGGCCTCCCTATACCCTTCTTCCTATTAGTAACTGGAGTTAACTTTTACATTTAAGTATTTAATTAAGCTATATGGAAAAAACTGACCGTAGATCATTAAATAGCAAATAACACAATTTAAAAAGATAATCTTGAAGGAAAATTACATAAAATGTGGCAAATGTTAAGGTAATGAATAACTTTTAAAGTACAGTGCATAAGAGGTAGAGTCATAATTTACTAAAATGTGAATCTGACAATTGTTTCAAGAAGAGTTTTGTTTGTTTTTTGATGGCACTGAGGTTTGAAACTCAGGGTCTCACACTTGCTAAGCAGGTACTCTTACCACTTGAGCCACTCTGCCAGTCCAAGAAGTTTTTATTTAGCTAACAAGCACTCAATTCTCAAGTGCTGTAGAATAAACCCAACACACAGATGCTACTTTCATGCACACTAAGAGCATATGTACCATATGCACCACAAATCATTGTTCAGTTTTTCCAAAATTCAGAAAATGACAACACGTACTAACAAGTTGTTACTCTGTTGCTGTTGTAAAATGTATGTGTTGAATGTTAAATAAATCTGATTTCTAAGTATAAGCAGATTTTAATTAAGATTTTAAGTTGAGCTGGCTATGTGGATATAAAGCTACAAGACTATTATGTTGATGTTTTACCTCATGTCAAAAGAAAATCAAATACATACCCTCAGAGTTTTATAAAATCAACATTCTTTTTTAAATCAAAGAATGAGTTAATGAGCATTACTGACAAAACAGAACAAAGTGAAGATGAACCTAAGGCAAGGACCTGTATTTTCTAGTCTTAATGCTGCGACTAAGGTTGTATAATGCTGTAAAAGTCAGTTAGAATTCTTCTAGGAAAGGGACCAGCATGTATGGGTAATACTATCTCCATTAATAGCTGAGAGAGGCTGAACAATTTGTTCAAGACTGAAGAGTACAAAAGTAATAGAGGTAAATCTTGATCCCAGGTCTGTTTGACTCTTAAGTCCGCAGAACCTTCTCTGGCTTCAGTTCCTCATCTGTAAAATAAAGGGGCTCAGCTAGCTTATCTGTGGACATGATCCCATTTGATCCCCCCAAACCTAAGAGACAGGGTACTATCTGTCCTTACAATGAAAGAAATTGATATTATAGAGAGTTTAAAGAGCTTACCTGAAGTTCATACCAAGTTGTTCTGATTCCATGTCCAAGACTATTTCTATTACATCATACCAAATAATCACTAAAGTCCCTTTGCTGGTGCTACAGATTCAATGAACCATAGTCGCAAAGTATGTCCATAAACGTACTAAGATATCATATGGTAAATATACTAAAATTCTAAAATGCTTCTCATTTTAAAATACTGAGGCCAAATCTTCCCCAACCTTTCTTTTAAAACATGCACTCTTACATGATCTTTTTTTTTTTTTTTTAAACCTCTGAGTATCTTCAACAGTATTAAAAAGTTTAAGCAGTCATGGTTAAAGACTAAGTGTTTAGATTGTAACTCTTGCACAGATGGTAACTGGATAATTTATTTCTAAAAAATGCTCCCGTATTTTCACAATTGGTAAAGTGTATCCTGCAATTTTGCCCAAAATTTATTTTTGAGAACCATAGGCTCTGAGATTAAATGAGGAGTAATTACCATAACATAAAATTGTTTTGTTTTTAAAACAAACAAAAAGTCTAGCTACCTTATACAAACAGGTGTCGACTACTTCATTGCAAACTTTCTCAAGGTCATCAGTGACTTCAAGTCTGGATCTTACAAAATCACAAAGCTCTTCGTTTCCCATAACATCCCAGATACCATCACATGCAAGAATAATGAACTGATCATCTTCTTCAGATCTTTCAATATCATGGACTTCAGGCTCTGGTGAGACAAGCTGCTCTGTAGGACCTTTTCCATGGACACACTTGTAATCAAAATCCCCAAGGGCCCTTGATACAGCCAGAGAGCCATTCACACGCTGAATCATTACAGAGCCACCTGCATTCTGAATTCGTTCTTTTTCCAGCGGATTACTTGGTTTGTGATCTTGGGTGAAGAAATGAACTTTCCTGTTCCTACAAAGTAAACCTCTTGAGTCTCCACAGTTAATGAAGTAAGTATGTTGGGGAGAAATTAAGACACCCACAGCTGTTGACCCACTTCTATCTGCACCATGTTTCTTCTCTGACATAACTCTCATGTGTTCATCAATCTCCAGAAAACCTGTTCTGATTCCATTCTTTACATTTTCCACAGAAGGTGCTCCTGCAGAACCTTTAAAATCCTGGTTATTGGTGATGTGATCTAACAAATGCTCACAGCAGTATTTGGCAACCTGAGAACCAGCATGCCCATCATACACAGCAAAGAATGACCATGTTTCAAGTCCACTTGGTAAACCGATTACAGCCGTATGTGCATCCTCCATTTCAACTCGCCAACCTTGCATGCTGCTTAGCCCATATCGCAACCCATTACCCTGCCCCTGGGCATTATGCTTTTCCATCTTTGGCTTGTCTAAAAATGCTCCCATTATGTCTTGATCCTCTAGGTCTGCAAAGGAAGAGAAATAGGAAAGTCAATAACTATCTTACAAACAAAATGCATATCTAGCAATCTTTGTTAAGAGCCAAAGAGAAACCAGGGAAGCTTTAAATAAGAACTTACAACTCTTGTGATAAGCAGACACTCATGTGTTGCCGACCTGGAATTTGGAGACTGACAAGGCCAATTAAGCACAGCTCAGAATGGACAACAGGCAGAGAGAACTAAGTCATCAGAATAAAGAAGGGATCTGCCACTCTGAGGAACAACCACTTGAGGTAGACATTGCAGTGACATCAACCAACATTTGGTTGACATCAATCAAGCATTTAAGGATACACTGAACATGTACAATCTTAGAACTAAGTTGTGTGTATATGGGTCAAGAAAAATCAAGTAAATTTATAGAACACACAAAAACCTATTTCAAACATGTTGGTTGAACATTCAGGATTGACAGTTTGATTCTAAACTATACAGCTCCATTCTCACTATGTGAGTCCTCTGAAAAAGCAAAAAGTGATCTACTCACAGTGCTACAATTTTTTTTGTCCCTTCTTTAAACCTTTGCTCATGATAGTCACCTTAACTAGAAACCTTTGCCTCTCTTCTCTACTTAGAAAAACTATACCTATCCTTTAAAGTCTAGTTCAAATTCTACCACAATATTTTTCAGTTTTGGATAAAGTCAATAAATTATTGAATTACTATATATGGTCCAGTCTCAAACTTCAATTTTGCAAACAATTATACATTTATTTTTAATGACAAAGCTTATTATGTAAATATAACAAAACTAATCTCCTGATAATCTATTAAGCTAATGGTAATAACATGTATCATTATTATTATGCTCTATGACCATTAGGTATTAATTATAAAGATCAAAGGGACTAGTTACAGCTTTACTGACAAGCCTGGAAACACAGCTAATCCAGTCCTTTCCTAGTACTTAACAGTTAGCCCCCTGGTCTTGAAGGGCTCAAACAAAAGGTAGACAGATAGGACTTAGGTTGGCCCTTACTTGAGCAATAGCTTAGGGATATAAAGACTTGGGGTCCACCTAATCAAATGAGTCATGAACTAAAGGCAATGTGAAAGAGAATGAATTCTGAATCGAGAATGGAAGTAAAGAGATGTGTCCTAGGGGACAAGAGTGAGAAAAAGCACCTAGGTCAACAAGTTTGCAGCTCTGAGACCAGAGGATTAATGATTAAAACTCAAGAGAAAAAGGGAAGAAAAACCCCTTAGGAAGTAATAAAAATAACATTTGTTTCCCAGCAACCTTTCTTTTTCTTTTTCCTCCTATCGAACAAACTGATACACAGGAATACTGGTTGATTGTTATAATAAAACTACTTGTCTACGCCTCTGCCCTCTATTAAGATTCCACTAATGTGGACGGTAAATAATGAAAACTATCCATTATTCATCCTTTATGGTGGTATTTGTCATATTATTTTTCTGATGCCCAACTGTTATACATTAATGCAAAGGTGAGTTTTGGAGAACGACAATATAAGGATGAAACCTTTAGCAGACAACATTTTTGAAGAATTAAAAATCATTCTGGTGTTTTACAGGCATTACACCTCATTTAATATCCTCACAACCCTCTAAGTTGAATACTAGTAGTAACTCAAATTTATTGATGAAGAACCTTAGCCAAGATTAAAGAATTTAGCTAATGTTACCCAACTATAAGTTTAAAGAAATCAGAGCTCTAATTCAAGTGTATCTGACTTTAAAACACCATTAATAACTAAGAAAGTACAGGGAAGTGAAATGATGTGCCTGAAGTTATAAACCTGATTCACCAGTAAGGCTGAGAATAGGACCTAGGTTTCAGCACTTGAACTTCAATTCTCCTACATATGCTATCCTACATATGTGTAAAATAAAGGAATGGAAATCTTACAGTGAGCTTTTAAAAGATAACATGAGGTAGGCAAGATTGTTACATAACAAAAGTAAAACGTTTTTCAGTATTAATAATTTCCCCTTCCTACAAGTCCACAATTTCTTCTCCAGATCTCTAAACTTCCAAAGATAAATGACCTCAAAGCGGGAGGGGCATGCAGGAAGTAAAAAAGAAAAGGGAGAAAAGGAGGAAATCTAAAGATTTGTCTGAGACTGCAGGAAAACAGTGAAGTAAATATAATTTCTGACAAAGCCAATTTAGGTTCTTGGACTAAATAAGACCTAAAAATGAGCAGAGAAAAACAAAAGGATATATATTTTAACTCAGAAGTCAAAAAGAGGTGAAAGGCTGGATAGGTGTGGTTCAAGTGGTAGAGTGCCAGCCTAGCAACCTAGCAAGCATGAAGCCCTGAGTTCAAACCCCAGTCCCATTAAAAAAAAAAAGTAGACAGTATTCATCAGCTGCAAAGTAGAAACTACCCATCGAGATGACAGTGATATGAAATTAGGTTCCTGGAAATGAAAAACAATTATTGAACTAAAACTTGCAATAGAGACATTGAATCAGATTGGATATTTCAGAAAAAAAATCATTAAAATGAGTAGTGACTTCAAAGGATTTCTTTTAGAACTGATCCTATCCTCACACATTTCTGTTATAATAGATTGTCCTCTTATCAACGATAAACCCCTCTACAACAGGTTTGGAGTTCAATAAATCTCAGATGACTTATGTCTGTTCAGGAAACCTACACTATTAACCATCCTTTTGTCCTTTAGATCAACATCTCTCTTTTAATTGGTGTGATTTTTAAAGATACTCAAGTGTGTCCCATGTCACCCACTAAAAATACATCTTCATGAGATTAATTTCCCCTCTAGCTACCCACCTGCCTCTTTTCCCTTTAGTTAAATTTTTTGAAAAATAGTATTGCTATTCCAGAATATTCGCTGTTCATTCTACCCAATCAGGTTCCCCAAACTAACTTAACCCAACAGGCATTTTTTAGCCTTCATCTAATTGACTGCTTATAGCAGCATTCAATACCACAATCCCTCCTGAACCATTCTTCCTACTAGCTTTAAGATGCTATACACTCTTGATTTTCCTACCTGTAGCTTTTCCATCCTTGTCTCCACTGCAGACTCACACACAGGCCCTCTTCTATATGCTGCCTCCCTAAGCACTCCTTTCCTAAGCATTCCTTCATATGTCTCTGGAGCTGGGTCTTTTTTTTTGCGGGGGTGGGGGGGAGTACTGGGATTTGAACTCAGGGCTTCACACTTGTGAGGCAGGCACTCTACTGCTTCAGCTACACCTCAAGTCCTTTTTGCTGTAGTTATTCTGGAGACTGGGTTTTGCTTTTTGCCCAAGCTGGCCTGGACTGCAATCCTCCTATTTTATGGTCCCGCCACCCCAGAGCTGACAGCTTCTTCCATGGAGGTCTTGTAAAGTCTTCCTTGTAAGCTTTTTTTTGGACAGGGCTAGTCTGGAACCATGATCCTGTTTGTCTCAACCTCCAAAGTACCTAGTATTAGAAAGTGTGAGCCACCAGCACCTAACTTGTCTGTGGCTTTTTAACCAGTGAAGGGTATTATCATTCAACAAAGTGAACAGAAACCAAGGATATCTTTTTGATACCTCTCTTTACCACACCATCAAGTCCCATGGATCATACTTTTTGAATATCCTTAAATCTTTTTTTCTATCATACCCCAGTCTCCAAGCTACCATTATTCTCACTGCAGAATATCAGCTTTCTACGTTGTCTCTTCATATGCATGTCGACACCACCCAATTAATTCTCCAAACTATAGCCTAAGTAAATCCTATGAAATATAAGTTCTACCACATCACTTCTGTACTTACAGCTTTTAAATGGCTTTCAACTGTTGGGGGAGGGAGGGAGGGAGAAAAAAATATGACTCATATGAAGACCCTGAGTGGTCAGACCTCTACCTCTCTTTTCTAGCCTCATCTTGCTTCATATTCCTCTCCCTCACATTCTCTAACCACATGGGCTTTCTTATAGCACCTAGTGCTCATCGTGTTTCCTTACTCCAAATACATAGACTAACGCTACCTCCATGTAAAAAGCTATTCCCTCCTCTCTTGAAATCTAGTTAATTTCTACTCATTTCTTCTGATCTCAACTTGAGCATTGGTTCTTTAGGAGAGCTTCCTGCGAATTCCCTAAATCAATTCCCCTAGCACAAAGCACACTGTAGACCATCAATAAATATTTGCTGAGCAAGGCATGTTGGCATGTTGGGGGATGGGAGATCAATGTAAGCCCAGAACAATAATCTGAAAATAAATAAAATAAAGCAGGAGACTCTTTAAAAAACTAAATAAACAAAAATCAAATACAAATAAACCTTAATAAGAGAATAAAAATGCATATAAAAACAAGCCTTTCTGAATCAGAAAACAGAAGGCATGACCAAAGAAATAACGTTTTCTGAGCTGAAGTGTTTTCCAACTTAAAAAGCTCACTAGATTAACTGCTAAAAACCCATTCCAGGTAGTGCACAACTACAGAGATTCAAGGAACAAATAAAAATACTATAATGTAAAATTCTTGACAGAAAACATGAATAATCCTCAAAGGAAGGAGTATCAAATTGGTATTAGCCATTTCAACTACAAAACTGAATCCTAAAAGACAAGCAGAGAATAAACAGTCTAAGTTCATGAACCTAGAGTAATATACTCACCCAAACTGTTAGTCACATGTGTGTGTGGAGGGGAACTTTTAAGACAAAGACACAAAGTATATTCCTATATGCACTATTAAAACACAAAAACAAAACCCTTAAGGGCTGGGGGATGGTTCAAGTGGTAGAACATCTGCTTAGCAAGCTTAAGACCCTGAGTTCAAAATCTAGTACTAGCACGAAGGAAAAAAACCCCCAAAAACTTAGGCTATGTTTTTTCTTTTTTGATTTTTTAAAATTTATTCATTTATTCATACATGCATACATTTTTGTGCCATTTCTCCCCCCTGCTTAGACTATGTTTTTAATCCAAATTCATGTCTATATGATTTTTTAAGTTTAATCTTTACAAAATAAATTGGAAATAATCT